TCCAAAGTCCAAATTTGAATCATTGTCTAATGAAATTTTAATGATTGTTTTTGAACATATTGAAGTTGGAAATCTATTTTATAGTTTTTATAATTTAAATCAAAGATTAAATTATCTATTACTCGATTATCCTCTATCCCTAGTCGACTGTCGCGTTAAAAACCACGCATGTTCCACGTAAAAGAAGTCATGCGTGAAACACTTCCGCATTTCACGTGGGTTAATCGCCGTGTACCATGAGTGATACATGCGTGTTTAGTGCCGTGTACTGTGAGTGATGTACACGTGTTTTTTATGCTTTTTTATTCGTGTTTCATGCACGTACAACCGCATTATACCCAGAGATTTTTGGCCATTTTTCCTGTTTGTTTCATCAAACAACTGCATTCAGTAGAATCTCTGTATTGTATTCTGATTCCTTCATCTTTGCGTAAACATATATTTTCATATAAGATACATATATTTCATAATAAAGAAGAAAAGTAATATGTGTAAGCAAAGTCTAACAGAAGTTAACAGGTCTCAAACAGAAAGGCAAGGATTCTTTAGCTTAGAGATGTAAGTGAACACGAATTAAATAAATTTGTAGAAAAAAGCGCTTTTGTACAATATTTTTTGTATAATCAAAACATTCAACTTAATTTTGTTGATCTTCTTCACTGTACGATGAATCTGTATCAAACTCTTGGTCATCAACAACGCCTTGATTACTGCCAATATTTTTTTGTTCTGCTTCATGATCACTATAGTTTTCCTCATAATCTTGTGTTTGATGTTCCTGTACTTCTTCGTTTTCGCTATCTTGTTGTTGTTGTTTTTTAAACCAATCTCTTTTGATATCTCGTCGTAACTGTGATCTTGCATTATGTAACGATTTAATAAATCTTGAATTTTTGGTAATTTGGTCACTTAAATCAAGTGTATATTTTATTGCATCTAAAAACAATGAAAAATACCTATAGTCCAACTGTTTTAGAGAAGAGAATTGTTAGGCTAACCTACAATTACACGAAATCTTGCATCTCGTTCTGTTAAATCTTTTGATGCTTTTTGACTTTTTCACGTTTTTAATGAAACATAGTACGTCCGCAATGACGTTAAACTATGGGTCTGCAATTGACCAAAATATAGGTTGACGATGTTTGTGTATGGATATGGTAAGGTTATGGTTCAGGGTATAGCTCCTGGCATGGGAAATGACCTCAAAAGGTGGATGAACTTCCTGAAGTGGTCAATGGTATTAGCTTAGAGATTGGGGAACAGCAATGTCTGATAGACTATCGATGCGGGTTTTGGAACAATCTGTTATCGCTCGACAGAATGAGGATTGCTAATGAACATTGAAAGAGTCAATGATAGAATCATAGTTGCTTATTTCGCAGGCAATCCAGCTTTGACAATTCTATCAGCGTATGTTCCGACCAATATGGCAAACGGCGATGAAAAGAGTGAGTTTTATGATGCTCTATCAGATTGTATCAAGTCTATACCAAAGCACAATGTAAAATTGGTATTAGCTGATATGAATGCCAGAATTGGAAGAGATATGTCATCTAGAACAATTGGATCATCGTTGTACCATGATAAAACGAATGACAATGGAGAGAGGTTGATTGAATTATGTGAAATGTGTGACATGCGAGAAATACAATCAAGGTTTAGACATCGTCAAGGTCGACTGTGGATGTGGAGACATACATCTGGTCAAACCGCACAGTTAGATCATATCCTTGTCACCTCAAAATGGCGTAATTCGATTCGTAATTGTAGGGCATACAACACAATGAACGTTGACTCAGATCATCGAGTTGTGTGCTGTAAATTCAAATTACGATTAAGAGCTATAAAGAAATGTAGTGTCACAAACATCCGTTACAACTATGCAAGTCTAAAGTATGATATGGTAAAAGAGAGATTCAACATGGTGCTAGCGAATAGATTTGAAGCTCTTCAAAATGTCAGAGCAAATGATCAACCAAATTTGGATAAAGGTGAGAAGGTCAGGATCCAGAACTGTTATGATACGCTAATTGAAAGTATAGATGCTACAGCAACTGAGGTGCTGGGACGCAAGAAAAAGATCAGTAAGAAAACCTGGCTTAAAGAAAGAACAATCATGCTGATGAAAGAACGGGATAATGCAAAATTGTTCTATGAACGTACTAGAACAGTAGATAACCGCTCTAAATGGAAAGAACTCTCCTCAAAAGTTGAACAAGAATGCAAGAAGGATGAAACGGAGTATCTCAAAGAGAAAATATCTGATTTGAATACAGCGATCAAACGACATAAGATCACAGATGTGTGGAAAATAGTTAACGATTTTAAATGGCAAGAACGTAAAGAAGGTAATGAAGGTAAAGGACAAGAATGGAAAACCAGTTACAAACATAGAGAGTCTATTGAATAAATGGATGGAGTACTTCGAGAGGCTACTAAATAACACAACAAACACCAACGATCAAGATTTACCGTTACCAAATAACAATGATCTGCCAATTGAAAGTGGACCCATAGAAAAGAAGGAGGTTGAGATAGCCATTGACTCAATGAAGAGTGGTAAAGCGCCTGGAATCGATTCAGTTATTACAACTGAACTTTTAAAAAATAGTGGAGATTTCATCAAACTACAGATATACAACATTTGCTCTAAAGTTTATGAGTCGGGCATTGCTCCTAAACAATGGTCAACAAATGTGATTGTTCCAGTACCTAAGAAAGGCGACCTGCTTCAGATGAACAATTATAGAGGAATATCATTAATGTCGGTGGCAGCAAAATTATACAATAGAATTCTGCTAAATAGGCTTAGACCACACTTAGATCCAATCTTGAGAGCTAATCAAGCAGGCTTTAGACAAGGTAGGAGTTGCATATGTCAAATACACATATTGAGAAGAATTTTGGAGGGATGTCATAAAAAGAATCTACCATTTGTTGCAACATTTGTGGACTTCAAGAAAGTATTTGATTCCATAAATCGTGTTATGATGTTTAGTATCCTTCGAAATTATGGAATCCCGCAAAAAATAGTAGATGCAATTAGGTTATTATACGATACATCCTTAGGTAGCGTACTAGTAGATGGACGGTTAACAAAAGAATTTAGAATGTCTACCGGAGTATTACAAGGCGATGTCCTAGCACCATTCCTTTTCATTATTGTCATTGACTATATACTGAGAAGATGTGAGATGGACAAATATGGGTTTATATGTGAAAAAAGGACATCTGCAAGACATTTGGAAAAGAGATTAAGTGGCCTGGATTATGCAGATGATATATGCCTTTTAGAAAATTCTATTCAGGAAGCGCAACAACAACTACATGTTCTTAATTCGATGCTGTAAGAATTGGTCTAGAAATAAACATTCCAAAAACGGAATATATCACTAATGTGAATGCTGCTGACACATTAAAGGTAAATGGTGTTGACCTTGGAAGGGTGCAGGACTTTAAATATCTGGGAGCACACATGGAATCATCAGAAAAGGACGTAAACATAAGAATCGGACAAGCATGTTCAGCTTTTTGGAAACTGGAAAAAATCTGGAGAAGTAATCATCTTCAAAGTTAATCTGTTTTAGTCATCTTGCCTATTCATCCTGCTATACGGCGGTGGAACATGGTTTATAACGGAAAAGATGATACACAAACTAAATAGTTTCGCAAGTAGCTGTTATAGAATAATGCTTGGAATCAGGCGTAACGATCATATTTCCAATGCCACCATATACAACAGACTAGGTGTGGACAAGCTGATAAAGACAATTGTTTAAAAGACAGCTCGAATGGATGGGACATATTTGCGGAAGTCCAGATGCTGTGTGCGTAAAGCGACGAGTTCTGGGTTGTTGGCCGTCGATTTATCCGAAAACCGACGTTGTCTCTCCCTCAGCGCGTAGAGCTCACCCAGAGTCGAGGAAGTTCACTAAAAACTCTCTCACAACCGTTTTTTTGAAAATAAACGAAATATACAATAGAAGTTAAACGCCCCAACATTTTTTTGAAGTTTTCCGGATTGTTTTCTCCTTTTTTTGGTTATTTAGGGACTTTTTTGAACTTTTTTGAAGCTAAAAGTTAAAAGCAATCAAAAGCGAAAGACCAACAATTTTTTAAAGTTTTGCAGATTATTTTGTGCTTTTTTTGGTTATTTTTGCGGAATTTTCTATTTTTTTTTCTAAAGGAAGTAGCTCCACGGCGGCAGTAATTACAAGAAGGTTCCGTGGCACCTAAATGTAATGGGTTTTTCGTCTCTGCATAAGTATTTTTGACACCCGCAAAAATACTATGCTAATTGATAAAGAGTTTCTTCGTCGTCATCGTCTTCTGCCGCGCTTTCATCGGAGGAAGGAGCATTCTGAGCGTCGAGACAAGTGGAAAGAAATGTCCTCGTTCTTTGATTGAGATATGCAGGATCGTATCGAGCGACACTAACGAGGGAACCCCACGAAGTGATTAAACGCTTTTTGCTCGGAATCTAGTGGGTTATAGGTTATCGACCATGCGGCTTCCGCATAGCCCTTCGAAGACCTGGTTTTCTAGAAAACGAGTTTTTCAGAAACCCCAAAAAATAACCCGAACCGTTCTTAATGAGGCATGATTGTAGCTCGCACATTTCTGAATAAAATGAGACCACTCCCAACTCTACATGACCTTTCTTTGCAAAGTTATAGAATTTACAACAAAAGCCCTAAAAGTTCATTGTCAGCTCAAAGCTACAGAAATAACAAGAAATTACTTTAGGGCTCTTCGTGTAAATTCTATAACTTTGCAAAGAAAGGTCATGTAGAGTTGGGAGAGGCCTCATTTTAATCAGAAATGCGCGGGCTACAATCATGCCTAATTAAGAACGGTTCCAGTTATTTTCTGGGGTTTCCGAAAAACTCGTTTTCTGGAAAACCAGGTCTTCGAAGGACTATGCGGAAACCGCACGGTCGATAACCTATAACCCGCCAGATTCCGAGCACAAAGCGTTTAATCACTTCGTGGGGATAATCTAGTGAATCTAGAAGTAAAATTGTCGGGCAAGAGACTAAAATTCTCCTGTAACAGACTAAAATTCTCGTGGTAATTCTCAAAATTCCCGTGCGAAAGTAACATTCTCATGGAGAATGCCTCCGGGATATTCTCATTTCTTGTGCTAGAATTAAAATTCTCGTGCAAGAGAGTAAAATTCTCGTAATAATTCGCAAAATTCCCGTGTGAAAGTAAAATTCTCATGGAGAATGTCTCCGGGATATTCTCAACTTCCTGTGATAGAACTCAGATTCTCGTGAAAGAGAGTAAAATTCTCGAGGTAACTTTCAAAATACCCGTGTGACAGTAAAATTCCCTTCGAGAATGTCTCCGGGATCTTCTCAATTTCCTGTGATAGAATTAAGATTCCCGTGAAAGAGACTAAAATTCTCCAGGTAACTTTCAAAATTCCCGTGTGAAAGAAAAATTCCCCTGGAGAATGTCTGCGGGATATTCTCAATTTCCTCTGATAGAAGTAAAAGTCTCGTGGTAATTCTCAAAATTCCCGTGTGAAAGTAAAATTCCCCAGGGGAATGTCTCCGGGATATTCTCAATTTCCTGTGATAGAAGTGAAATTCTCGTGTAACAGACTAAAATTCTAGTGGTAAATCTCAAAATTCCCGTGTGAAAGTAAAATTCTCATGGAGAATGTCTCCGGCATACTCTCAATTTCCTGTGATAGAACTCAGATTCTCGTGAAAGAGACAAAGATTCTCGTGGTAATTCTCAAAATTCCCCTGTGAAAGTGAAATTCTCATGGCAAATGTCTCCCGGATATTCTCATTTCGTGTGACAGAACTAAAACTCTCGTGGTGATTCTCAGAAAAACTCTAAAATTCCCCTGGAGAATGTCTCCGGGATATTCTCAATTTCCTCTGATAGAAGTAAAATTCTCGTGGTAAATCTCAAAATTCCCGTGTGAAAGTAAAATTCCCTTGGAGAATGTCTCCGGCATACTCTCAATTTCCTGTGATAGAACTCAGATTCTCGTGAAAGAGACAAAGATTCTCGTGGTAATTCTCAAAATTCCCCTGTGAAAGTAAAATTCTCATGGAGAATGTCTCCGGGATATTCTCAATTTCCTGTGATAGAATTAAGATTCTCGTGAAAGAGACTAAAATTCTCGTGGTAAATTCCAAAATTCCCGTGTCAAAGTAAAATTCCCCAACAGAATATCTCCCGGATATTCCCAATTTCCTGTGATAGAAGTGAAATTCTCGTGTAACAGACTAAAATTCTAGTGGTAAATCTCAAAATTCCCGTGTCAAAGTAAAATTCCCCAGGAGAATGTCTCCCGGATATTCCCAATTTCCTGTGATAGAAGTGAAATTCTCGTGTAACAGACTAAAATTCTAGTGGTAAATCTCAAAATTCCCGTGTCAAAGTAAAATTCCACTGGAGAATGTCTGCGGGATATTCTAAATTTCCTCTGATAGAAGTAAAAGTCTCGTGGTAATTCTCAAAATTCCCGTGTGAAAGTAAAATTCTCATGGAGAATGTCTCCGGGATATTCTCGATTTCCTTTGATACAAGTAAAATTCTCGAGTAACCGACTACAATTCTCGTGGGAAATCTCAAAATTCCCGTGTGAAAGTAAAATTCTCGTGCGGAATGTGTCCGGGATATTCTCAATTACTTGTGATAGAAGTGAAATTCTCGTGCGGAATGTGTCCGGGATATTCTCAATTACTTGTGATAGAAGTGAAATTCTCGTGTAACAGACTAAAATTCTAGTGGTCAATCTCAAAATTCCCGTGTGATAGTAAAAGTCTCATGGAGAATATCTCCGGGATACTCTCAATTTCCTGTGATAGAATTAAGATTGTCGTGAAAGAGACAAAGATTCTCATGGTAATGCTCAAAATTCCCCTGTGAAAGTAAAATTCTCATGGAAAATGTCTCCCGGATATTCTCATTTCGTGTGACAGAACTAAAACTCTCGTGGTGATTCTCAAAAAAATTCTAAAATTCCCCTGGAGAATGTCTCCGGGATATTCTCAATTTCCTCTGATAGAAGTAAAATTCTCGTGGTAAATCTCAAAATTCCCGTGTGAAAGTAAAATTCCCCTGGAGAATGACTCCGGGATACTCTCAATTTCCTGTGATAGAAGTAAAATTCGCCTGGAGAATGTCTCCGGGATACTCTCAATTTCCTGTGATAGAAGTAAAATTCTCGTGGTAATTCTCAAAATTCCCGTGTGAAAGTAAAATTCTCGTGCGGAATGTGTCCGGGATATTCTCAATTTCCTGTGACAGACGTGAAATTCTCGTGTAACAGACTAAACTTCTAGTGGTAAATCTAAAATTGTGAAACTAAAATTCCCTTGGAGAATGTCTCCGGGATATTCTCAATTTCCTGTAATAGAAGTGAAATTCTCGTGTAACAGAGTA